CTGATGGAAGTTCAGAATTCACAAAAGAAGTTAGATTCTTTATTAACATCCTCCGAGTTTTCTTTTTTTTCTACATTTCTTCACATTCCTTTTGGATGGTACAGAATTCTTTGGTGTAGTTTTTTCATATCTGAATTATTTAAGGTCATAATGTTTTCTAATATGAAGATTCTATAATGATTGCTGCCTGTGAAAATTTGTAGACTCAAGTAGATTTTCTTGATTTAATTTGTGAAATTAGTCATATCTCTTTAGGCGATACGGAAATTGTTATTTGTTCTGTCTTACAATCTTTAGAGTAACTTGGTTGTATAAAATTTTCTTCTATTTGCTGATCATGATGCTTCGTAGTAACAATTATCTGTTTTGTAGATGACATAGGATTTGTAGGAATTTCTTTTACTGGAATGGATGCGATAAAATCACTATCCGAAAAAATATGCGGATTAAATGGATAATTCTAGTAATTTTAAAACCATTAGCAGTGATTAGATCTGTTTGACATTGAAGATAAGCTCTTCCCAAAAGCTCAGCTATGTCATACAGTCTCACTGATCGTTTATTCTCACGTTGTCAAATATGAATATATTCACTATAATATTATTTGAATGGTCCCATGAATGTGTGATCTAAAAGCTGCATTTTATGTATAGTATAAGATGGTATGCTCAAAATAGTAACATAATTTTTGCGTGCAATATCCATCATGTCTAAGTTCCTTGTATAAGAGTAATGACCATCCAAAATTAAAAGAACAAGAGATTCTTTTGTAGGATTTGTCTTTTTGATAAAATGTTAAAACCACTCTGTAAAAAAATGGATTTCCATCCAGATAGACATATACCAATATATCCAATAGGTGTACCTTTCATTAGAATATTTGACATATTTTTACAGGGAAATATCAGCATTGGTGGGATAAATATTCCTTCTGCACTCATGCAACAAATAACTGTAATGATACAGCTTCTTTCTACAGCCATAAGCAAATCAACCTATATTCATCAGACAAAAATACTGTTATAAAGTCCTCTTATAATAGAAATAAAAGAACTTACTCTATATATAATAATAACATATCTCTTTTTTTTCTTTTAGACCTTACGTATGGAAATTCACTCTATAGAGAATCCAATTTCATCCACATTAAATATACGATCAGAGTTATAGTTTCTTGTATATATTTTCCAAAATGTTATAAAATGCAGACATAGATTCTTTATTAAAACCTGCCACTTTGGAATATGATGTACTACTTAGTTTATGAATAGTTAATATTGGATGTCTTCTTATAAATTTGTCAAACCAAGCTCTACCAGCTTTTTCATTATGTCCAAAAGGATGTTTTAACTTATTTCTTATAACTAATTGGTAAGCCATGTTTTTCACATCATTTCTTGTTAAATCATAAAATCGGTTTTCCATTTCCAATAAGTAATCAACTAACTTCCATTTCTGGAGATATTACTGGTTTTCGTCCTCATATTTACACAATCTTTTGGTGGCAAGTCACTCGCAGGCAATCTCCGAAGAGTGGTTCTGGGAACTTTAAACATATTTGCTGCTCTTGTGTAGCCTAATTTATTGATTCTTACACAAATAATGGCTTCTTCCATGCGTTTTGGATTCCACTGATTCCACATCTTTCTTTCCTTTTTCTTATAAATACGCTGTCTTGGCATATGTCTGTCATACAAAATAATGATATAAATATTTACAAAAAATAGAATATTGTAGAATATATGCATATACGTACAAATCTTGTTATTATAGTGAAAATCTATGAGTAACGTGTATATTAGGTTATAGGATAGCAGTAGTTACAATCGATTTATCGAATAATGACTTCGATATGAAAGTATTGAACACGGAGTAATAGAATTCCAAAAAACCATATAATAAATTTAAAAATAAAATTATGAATCCGATAACTCGGATAATCTTCGTATTACCTCCTGTATTACCAGATCAAATTTATTGATTTTTATAACAAATAAATAATTATCCATTAAGTATTAAGGTTCGTTAATTGATTATTTCTTATAATTTACATAATTCATCTTTTAATATCTAAAATTTCGAATTTGACACCTTCAAATATATTCTGAAATGTATTAACAATAAAAATCTATGGCATACATAACCTAAAATATAAAATTTCAATATTATCGATGTATTTTGCAACATATATCTTTACTACAGGAAGTCAGTATTACATCACCCTGCAGCATCCGTTTCACCAGAGTTGTGTTGATTCCTACTCGAATGCTACTCGAAAATTTTATCCTTATTCACTGAATATTAAACAAGGATAACGCCATACCTGGGGAGCACTCGGGTGGGAATTTGAACACGCCCTTATTCATTGAATATTAAACAAGGATAACATGAGGGAAACATTCAGATGGGAATGCGTTCCCAGTGCTCCGATCTGTGTGATTTTTTTACTGTCCCAGATGAATAAAGTGACAATTGGAACGTCCCATGGAACACCGAAGAGGAATCTGAATATTCTTTAGCTGGATATATTCGAGTGGAGAATCCAAAAATGTCTATATATCTTAAAATAACTTTATTATGGGATGTCCAAATAACATTCTTGAGATGTTCAATATGGTGACATAAATGAGAGAATATATTTTGAACATCCAAGGACATTGAATTGTTGCATGGGTTGGTATATTATTTCATTTATATCCTCAATTCTGAATGTTCATGAATATTCTTTCATTTTTTATTTTTCATAAAAAAATTTTCTTTCTGATAAGAATTTAGTTATGATAAATCATAAATGATAAATCAGAATTACTTCATTCGTATGTGTCATAATTAATGTGTCATAATTAATGTGTGGCATAACGAAATTTCATTTTTGTCAATTAAATATTATCAGAATGAATTTTTATTTCGTAGGGTGTTTCTGATCACCCACAATCGGGACACTACAAAAATAAGAATTTTCCTATTGAGCCTAATAATTTTTTGATTTTTTGGTGTAATTAATTAATAAATTATTTTTTTAAATTATTTATAACAAGTTTTCATTTTATTATATGCATAATATGGCTCATGAATTATATCATTTGTACTTCGCTGTAGCATTTTCACTTATAATTGCAAAGGCGAAGTGTAATTGAGTTATAATCTCTTATTTGATTTCTACTAAATTCTTATAAACTATAGATGAAAAGATACTACAGCGAAATACAAAAGATATAATTGATAGAGCCACGTTATGCATACAAAATAGAAATCATTTTGAAAACTTCCCGATCAAAAATTTTTCATGAATATATATTTCAAGAATATATATAAATATGTATAAACATACATAAACATACATACATAACACGCATAAATATTCATAAACATGTATAATTATATATGAAATATATCCATGTTCATACATCCTTTTTTCTTTTGTAAATTTACTTTTTAGTGTAATAGAAATAATAATGGTAATATGAAAACATTCAAAATAATTAACAAAATAACTTTCACTATTTATTTTAGAAAAAATCAAGTTTGAAGAAATGTAAAAAAATTACTTATATACAATTATATATAAAATTATGCATAATTATATATGAGCAATTTTTTTTACATTTTTCCAAACTTATTTTTTTCTAAAACAAACAATGCGAAAATTATCCCTTTAATTATTTTTTATGTTTTCACATTACTGTTATTATTTCTATTACATTAAAAAATAATTTTACAAAAGAAAGAAGGATGTGTGAACATGTATGGACATATATAATTATACATGTTTATGAATATTTATGTGTGTTTATTTATACATATTTATACATATTTATACATATTCATGCATGAAAAATTTTTTACCGAGTTGTTATAAATAATGTTATAAATAATAATATTAAAAACTTAATGTTATAAAAATGTTATAAATAATAATGTTATAAACAATTTTTAAAAATGGTTTATTATTTAATTTATGCTATGGATCAAGAAATTATGGATTAATAAATAAGCTCGATAGATTCGAGAAAATCCTTAATTTTATAGTGTGTCCTGATTGTTGATGATCAGAAACATCCTGTATATAGTATGATATTCTATTCACAGTCTACATAATTTCATCACTTTTCAGAGGACGCTTTTGAATTTGAATAAAATCTTAATTGTCCTCCTCAAAGAAGAAAAGATAGGTCTCACTACTGCACAGAAGCAAGGAAGATGGATTTGATGTATTTGAAGATATTGAATATCTTGACATAGAATTCAAGATTTTCTTAACACTCAATTGAAAGCAACTTATATCCTCTTTTTGATGAAAGTCCTGATCATAAGCAACAATTAACTGTAAATGGAGATTTTATAAGATTTAATGTAAACTTTAGCAAATTTGTATTCTTAAATCTCTATTCTTTGAAATATGATATTCTTTATATTTCCAAATTTTTACTCTTTGTAAATTACTTTTACTCTTTGTAAATTTTATTCATTTCTATTGTATTCAGGTGATATTAAAATCTTTTTTATTCACAGATGCGAGATATGACACCCCTGAATTTTGATTGCTTAAAAGACGAAAAGTTGAAATTTATAATTGAACGTGATTATAGTGTTTTATTATTAACCCCATAGCATATACAAAAGCGTAAAGCAATAAAACGTAAGCAGTAAATAAATTGGCCAATCACAATAGAGACCATAAGGCCAATAGCGAATCCAATCTTATGATTTTCTTACCGTTTGCGTTTTATTGTCTTATGTTTTTGTATGTGCCATGGACTTTAGTATATGATTCTTATGTTTTTTTTTATAATCTAATAACTTTCTATAATCTTAGCAAAAATTCTTCAAGTAACGATAATCTGCAATCATTTTCTTTCATTTTTCTTCTCTTTTATATCATTATCTTAAAATTAATTTATGTCACACCTTTAATACAAAGAATGACGTATAGTTTCCTATTAATGATTTTCTAGTGATCTGTAAAAAGTTATAAATTAACAAGAAACAAAACATAGAAAATGGCTGAAATAACATTCCCAAAAGGTAAATGCATTAATGGTATATCAAATATTATACTCTCAAATGTATTATTATATTTTAATTAAATTATAATGAACAGTTCATCGACAATCATCTCAGAATGCTCTTAATCCGATGCTTGTGGATATATCGAAAAAAATAAATAAATCCAAAGATAAATTATCTCTCATTCCACAAAACCGACAGTCGCAAATTCAATTGGAAACACCTACAAAGAAAAAACGTGTATGTACTTGTTTATGATTGTATTGATAATGATTGTTAGGATATAATAAAAATATTTTAAGTATGATATAAGAATACAGGGTGTTTCGCTTCCAATATGCATGTTGACGACTAATCAGAAAATTAATCTAAAATATTAAAATCCAATATAAAGCCGTTATTAGAAATTTACTATCAATAAAAAAAATTGTTCCAAAATTATATTTGACTGTCATTATGCGCAATGAAATATGTTGTACTCTTACATCATGATTTTAAGTTCATAAAATAGAAGGCAAACGAAAATGTTTACCATGACATAATGGCTACAAAAAATTTTTAGAAATTGAACTATTTTTACATCATTTTCTTTTTTTTTGTTTGACAAATTATTTAGTATTACTTTTTATTTATTTAATTTTAAATTCTAATTCTTTCTATATATACAGAATGTCTCATAAGTTTTGACTAATTGCTTTTGTGTAGAAAGAGTGGACTAAACTGAGTCGAAAAATTCTTTATCATTTTGCAATTTTCGCAATAATTAACAAGATATTAATTATAAAAATTGCCAAATATTGGTCTTGAATAATTTTTTACTCAAATATTATAAACTTTATAGAAAAACTGCAACAGACAAAAATCATTTATTTTTTTCTCATAGAACTCTAAGAATTTTTTCAGAATTTTTTATCAACTTTTTAGTACTGCATTTTCTTACTTTTACTAACATAAGAAAATACGATATTAAAAAATTCTGAAAAAATTCTCAGAATTCTCTTTATGAGAAGAAAATAAATGATTTTTGTCTTTTACAGTTTTTTTGTAAAGTTAATAATATTTGAGTAAAAAATTATTCAAGATCAATATTCGGCAATTTTTAATAATTAATATCTTGTTAACTATTGCGAAAATTGCAAAATGATAGAGGACTTTTCGACTCAGTTTAGTCCACTCTATCTACACAAAAGCGATTGATCAAAACTTACGGGACATCCTGTATATATAGAAAGAATTCGAATTTAAAATTAAATAAATAAAAAGTAACACACACATATATGTATATTATTTTACAGTTATCCTTTGAGAATGCAGCGGCAAGGATTGAACTTATTGCCTCTCTAGAAGATATGACAATATCGTCTTTTGAATTACCTGTGAAAGAAACAACAATGTTAATTCCACAACAAACACAACTGGATATAGAACTGGAATCAGCACATTCAAGCTATTTGATTAAAACGAATTGGAAGCAAAGTAAAATTATTGACAGAAATATTGCTTTAACTGACAAACAGCTCTGGAAATGGCGACGAGATGTAAAGATTCATTGCAAGGTTCCTAAATTATATAAATTTGCAAAAGATGCATATACAGACTTATAAAATTCAAAAAGAAAAATTTTAATCAAAATGAAGATTTAAGGATTCTGAGTAAATTTTTTCATTATCTTTAGCAATTTGATAAAGCAACAGGACATTTGACATCTGCAAGAAATCTTTTCAAGCAGCCTTCATACTCACCTAAGCGATGGAACGCTAATTTACGCAATCTTTTTGCCGATCATATGATCATCCCACAAGTGACCATTTACGAATGTAGACAAGGATGTCACACCTGCTGGATTTACACAATGTAGGTCTATATTTAGACATTTATTAACTATTTACTTTAATGCAAAACTTTGAATAATTTTTATATTTGTAGTCCAAGAAACAATGCGTATAGAAAAGAAAAATTAACAGGCTAAATCGTCTGTAAGATTTAAGTACAAAGTCTTCAAAGACAAATATCGCAATTGCTGCTGAACTGGTAAACAGTATTATGAATATTCTGCTTATGTCAATCATTCATGAAACGATGAATAATGGAGAAATTATTAATCATTATATTCAATTATTTAATTGTATTCGATATTTCAATTTTTTAATATTTTCTCAATTTCTCAATAAGTATCGCTTCAATGTTTTGAACAATATTTTCTATTCTTTTAACAATATTCTCAATTTCTTATCCTAATACTTTATTATCATTAAATAATATTATTTTAGTTACATTGAGCAAAAGTTAGATCAAGAAAAAGTACCACATACAAGTAACATTGTGATAAAAATTTAAAGATATAAGAACTCTTCTAGAAAGACAGCATTTCTTCGATATCTATTTTAGAATCTCTTGCTATTTATTTTGAAAATGGAAAGAACTAGTCATAACAGTATTCCAAGTATATAAGCAAAAATGTTATTGTAATTTTTAGTAATTATATTTTTTAGTAACTATATTTCATTTGTAACATACAGGGTGATCTATAAATGCATATCAATGCATGTCCAATATTTTTAGGAGGTAAATCTATATACTAAAATAAGTAAAAAGCGTTATATGAACATATGTTCTACATACTTTAGTTTTCAAATTGTAGATAAAATTTTTAAAAATGTCCAGAATATTCGCCTCGTGCGTTAATAGTGTCAACACATATTAGGCCGAGATCAGACTACGCATTGAAGATTGAGGTTGAAGATTGAAATTTGACTAATGAGGACAAAGAAATTTTAGTTTTCCTATTATTTTAATTGGTTAAATTTCAATCTTTCAATCTAAATCTTCAATGCGTAGCCTGATTCTGATCTAAAACCTTGTGTCCACGATGCTCAACTCAGTCCGAATTCTCGATTCAAGAAATATATAGCCAATCTTGCCGGTTTTTCGTAAAAAAACTGTAAGCTGATTGTACACATATTTCTCGATCCGAATTCTCGTCAGTAGTAATCAGCTTACAATTTCAGTAACAATAGATTTTTTTCGGAATTAGGTTGTTAGTCTAATATTTTCTAATTGTAAGTCTAAGGGATCTATACAATATACTTATATCCACTGATATATAGGACCTATAGTTTAACGCCGGATTCGAACGACGTTTGGTGATCAAAGTGTACCTGGTCGCAGGTGAGATTGCATTCAGATCTACAAATCGCGAATCAATCGCACTGAGCGCATCAAGCCACTCGACGCTTCGGAGAGCTTATGAAAAAAAAGAATTATACAATTCTCATATAAGACTATTCCTAAAAATACAAATAATCTATTAAGGATTATTATCATCCATAATTTATTATATGTGTATTATTGTATATATCCAAACAGAACAACAAGTTATATATGATATTAAAATGTCAAAATGATTAAAAGTCATTTTTTAATCATTTCTCATTCATTTTAATGTCATTTTGATGTTATTATGACTTGTTCTGCTTGGATGCGTGTGTATGTGTGTCTCTCTGTATGTAAGTCTCTATATGTATATCTGTGAATGAGAAAGTATCTAATAAGAAAAGTCTATAAGATACAAAATAGAAATGTTGAATGTTACAATGATACACATTATCCTAATTGAACATCATTATTGTATGTGATTTATGTCACAATGCGTTTTAGAATGTTTTACACAATTATACTTATTTATAAATTTATCTTAAAATAATCTTATCCGTATAGCAAAAGCATTTTATTTGTAAGGCCTTACAAAGGCATTGTACTTCATTAGACAAAAGGAAATATCAATATACCTATTCTCTTTAGCTGAGATTCTTGCAAGGTTTAGCTTTTTTTCTTTTTTCTCTAAAAGAGTGAAAGAAAAGTGAAAAGAAAAGGATAAAAAATGAATCATGCAAGAACTTTAGCTAAAAAGAACATCTAAAATAATGTTCAAGCATTAGAGCCTTAGCATACAAAAAATTTAAGCAATAAAACAGTAAGCGAATTAATCAATCACAGTAGAAACTATAAGACCATAAGCAATAAGATATTGATAATTAAGCAATAAATATTGATAATATTTGTTATTAAGGCAATGATCACACTAAAGAATTTCTCTTAATTTCTAGTCGATCACGCCTTTATATGTAATCTACAATGGCAGTAGAAATAGTGGATAAGGCTATACCATAAGAGTAAGAAATCAACTAATTACAATCAATTATTCTTCTCATTATAATTGATCAATTTCTTATTTTTACAATCTCATCAACTATTGTTACTACCATTGTAGACCACGCATTACGTTATGGCTTTATATCTCTACTGTGATTGTGGCCAATTTACTTACGTTTTATTACTAAGTTTTTTTGTGTATCATGATTTTCAATTGTTAATATATCATCTTTAAGATGCAATGTCCTCTATCGATAAGCTAAATTAATTTTATGATAATTACATATTATTATTTTAACCAAGAAAGATTAGAATCTTTTATCTAATCCTCTTTGATTTCAAGAAAAGTTTAATGCGTAATATTCTCTTATCATAAATTTATTTTTACGAATATGAATTTATATAATATTATTTATTTTTTTAATAATTGACATAGCAATTACAAAAATATATTGCTTTTCTATCTGTTGTAAAAATTGATATTTTAATAAGAAGAAAAGAAATATGAATGTTCGTGTTTTATGTATTTTTAATAAGAAAATATTTGTTCTGTCGTTTTAATAAAAAGAAAACGACTAATTGTAAGATGTTCTATGTATTTAAAGAGATTAAACGTGTGCGACACCGTTTACTGACAGCTCAGCGTGCGTTCCACTTACACAACATTCACGACGCTCATGTCATCCTTCTTATTATCAAATATTAGACAAAGATGGATGATACACGGAAGTGTTGCGACATTTAGTGAAACGTACCCTCAGGATAGTTCCTTCATCTGACATATTCCGTCAGATTCTAAAATATAATCAGATCAAAAAGCTCAGTGAGCGATTATCGTTCTGAATGTATCTCATATTTGTACAAATATTTATGCAAACATCGAAAACAATAATAACGTTTTTAGCGCTATTGAAATATAAAGATAATAAATATCTTTAAATATGAGTTACTTCCTTTTATCTCTCCTGGATAAACAAGGTGGATAAAATTAAATTGTTAAAAATATATTGACAGAGTCTCGACATGTTCATTTATTGACACTTAACTAATCATGTGTACGATAACCATATTTTCTTCATGAAAATAAAGGACAAATCTGAAAGTTAGGGCTTTGTTCTTACATGTTTTCAAATCAGTTTTGTGACTACCAAAAATCTATACATTATAAAATTTTATTGCTTAATATAATCTAATTGAAATAATGCGCAGTTTTCTAATAGTTCGAAATTGATTCAATTGTATTGGAACAAACTCTTAATCTGAAATAATAAAAGATTTGAAATAATAAAAAATGAAAGCAACTTTAGTTTGAATAAATTTAATTTTAAATTTAAGAAATATAATTAACAAGAACAAATTGTATTTACATGCATGAAACTGTAAAATATTTTCCATAAAAATTTGCTCATTAATATAATGTTAGAATGCTAATTATATAAATTAAAAGAATTTCCCATAATGTCAAAATAAAGAATAGTAAAGGATATATAAAGGAATAATATTAGAAAACAAAGGAAAATTGAGTTTTGAAGAAATAAATAAATTTAAAAGACAGCAACTTAAAATAAAGGATTGTCATTTATAATGAAGGATGTATAATCATTATAACCATGTGTCATCTATCAGGAATTTTGTTGCTCCTCTGTTTTAGCCATAAAGAAATGCCATATATTCATTATATTACATATACTAACTGAAATCCTAATAGTACAGATCTCCAAAGATCGTTTTAAAGAGGATATCCCTATGACTGCGTTCGTTTTGGTACTCACAACGCTTGTAATCATAAAAATTATTCTTGTTTAATATTTAATAAACAAGAATAAAATGACTTTTAAAGCATCATGAGCGCTAAAGCAAATAGTCTAAGTCTTAAGAATGTTCGCCAAAACGTCCCTCGAATAAAGTGTGCTATTAGAGAGAGGAGTCAAAAATCTTAATAAATTGATATTGCCTGCCATGATTTTGAGTTATCTATAAGCACTGTTTACTACGCCAAAGTTCTCATTTCAGCCCTTGTTTTGTGTTTTATTGGTTTACAACTCTGGTGAAAATTTTTCTTAGAATTTCTCATATAATTTATCAGAATTTCTATCTATATATTTTTGTAACTTTCTCACATTTTTTATAAATTGGAACATTTCTCAGAAAATCTACATCTTTTCTCAGAATTTTTCATATATGTTAATTATTCGAAATATTGTAAAATTTCCATGATTTTTTGTAAGTATAAATTCTGATGAAATGTTACAAAATCTAAAAAATTTAAAAATATTTTTAAAAAATTATGGCTTAAGAAATTTCAGAATATTTCAGAATTCATTTGTATAAAAAATTCTGAGAGAAAATGTAAATTTTTCAATATTTCTGAGTATTTCTGAAAAATGTTCCAATTCGTATAAAAATTATGATAAAATTTCTACCAGGGAATTTCGAGTTATTTTCACATTATTAATAACAAATATCTATATAATTATATTTTGCAATTTTTATTTGTCATTTATCTTAGTCTTGCTTAATGTAATTTAATAATCAGATGAAAAAAATTGTAATACTTATTAAAGAGATGTAGGGAGAAAATCAAATGCAATAACCTACTGTTACCCGATGCTAAAAAAACGTATTTGAGAAAGAGGAGACAAGAGAGAGAGAGAGAGAGAGAGAGAGAGAGAGAGAGAGAAAGAGAATATCGAAACAAAAATCATGCTAACTGAATCATTTTAGCTACACTTTCTGCACTTGACGTAAAGTAAACACGCCTTATAAAAACAAATTGAAGCATTTACATGCTGAAAGATGTTATATATGAAGTTATTTAAATGCTAAAACACAATGTAAACGTTTAAATCGATTAAATATTTGATGTCACATTAATCTATTATTTATAATTTTTTTTTATATACTCGCGTCTCCAGCGATTCAATTGATATTGTATCCCATTGCGTGCATAGTTACATGTGTATCGGTTCTATCTTAACTTGCAAAACAATGTGAAACGTTTTCTAAAGCAAAGCTGTATTTTAAAAAAAGGACACTATAGTCGATTGCGTATTTCACCGTAATCGTTTATCGAAAGCGCTTCAGTTATCTGAGTTTATCCCTCGAGTCGAACTCGCTGCAAAAATGTCAAAGATATTTACGCCGACGAATCAAATAAGGTTAACGAATGTAGCCGTTGTTCGCATGAAGAAGGCTGGCAAGCGATTCGAAATTGCATGCTACAAGAATAAAGTAGTGTCTTGGAGAAACAAATTGTGAGTTTATTCTTGCCACAATGATCTGCCAGTTTAACCTAATTTACAATTTCTCAGTTACTTATTCATATTAAGTACACTGTTTTCTAAATAATATTATTATCTGTTAAATCTCCTCAATAATTATATCTTCAAGATTTTTCTCTTTTATTTTTTAAATAGAAATAAATCATCTTAGAAGCTTACTAATTCAACTGTCAATTTCAATCGTTTAGAAATTTTCTAATCTGCTGTTTTATTCAGAAGATTCTTTTTGTTCCCAATGTGTATATAATTCAATACTTATCATTTATTTTTCTTTAAAATATATTTCAGAGAGAAGGATATTGACGAAGTACTGCAAACACATACAATATTCACCAATGTATCAAAGGGTCAAGTGGCGAAGAAGGAAGATCTCATGAAAGCTTTCGAAACTGAAGATCAGACTGAAATCTGTAAACAAATCCTTGCCAAAGGCGAACTTCAAGTTTCTGATAAAGAGAGACACTTGGCATTAGAATCCATGTTCAAAGACATCGCTACGACAGTCGCCAGTAAGTGTATAAATCCGGAGACTAAACGTCCATATCCAGTTACCATGATTGAAAACGCCATGAGAGACGAAATACACTTTTCTGTCAAACCTAATCGAAACGCCAAGCAACAGGCACTGGATGTTATCTCACAATTGAAAGAGGTGATGCCTTTGGAACGTGTTCAAATGAGGCTCAAAATTGTTATTCCAGAAAAAGAAGCTAGGAAATTGAAGGATAAAGTTGTTAAATTTGCAACTAAAATGGAAACGGAAGAGTGGGATAATGGATCGTTAACAATAATTTGCTTAATTGATCCAGGTCAATATAGAGGAATAGATGAATTAATACGATCAGAAACAAAAGGCACTGCTTTATTGGAATTAGTTAATTTAAATGAAGTAGTCGAAGGAGAAGAACTCTTAACATAAATCATGACTGGAATTATTATCTTTTTAAACACACTGTTATGAAGAGATTCGTATTTATTAATTATAATTTATATATTTAAATATATGTTGATAATATTGTTATAACAATATGGCTAATAAAGTAATTTGCATTTATATTTACAAGTTGAATTTAAGTAAGTTATCTACATGCGTGTCAACAGTATTTTTTACCAATATCTTACACTATTCCTATTGAAAAATGCAATAAACATTTTTGATTAAGATTAAGAATTACATTTTTATTTAACTTAATTTTATTCTGTTTTAAATTTATTATATTTATTGCAATTTTAGATATGTAACACATATCCATTCCAAAAATGTATGTGACTACTACTTGATAAACATCAAGTATAGACAAACATTTGATAACAAATAATATTAGAATTCTATATTTTAATTATTCTATATTTATTTATATTTGTAACTACTGTGTTATATGTATGTGTACATATGTGTGTATGTGTGTGTGTGGTTGTGTGTGTATTATATTTGTTTGTGAGTGCAAAAAATTGATACCTACAAAAATTTGTAAATCAGTCCTTTTATTTCTCATCCATCACATCCGCTCGCGGAATATAAATATTTTCCGTACGTTGATCACATTTGGCCGCAATACGTGATACTGTTAGAAGGAAATCCGATAATCTATTTAAATATGTTTGTGCCTCTTTATCTAGGGCACCCTCTCGTACTAATGTTGTGATACTCCTCTCAGCACGCCTGCATACCGTTCGTGCAACATGCAGAGAAGCACAAGCTTTTCCACCGCCCTAGTTTTGAAACATTAAATAGAATTGGAATTGACTTGGAAATATGTGTCTATACAGGATGATCTTTAAATATATTGCCAAAATATTCAAAGAATTCCTTACAGTAAGATCAAAACTATAAATTCAAGATGAAAATTCCAAAATGATATCAAAAGTATCGGCAAAAATTCGTTTTTCCAAAAACTTCGAAAATCATTGAAGTTATTTTAACAAAATTTTATGTTTCAAAGACAAATTTGGTTCACTCCTGATTGAATAAAAAAAATTATAACTCCAAAATATGAACTTTTATGTCCTTGAAATATATATAGTTTTCAAATTAATGATGAGAATGATTTTAAAATTTTAAATTTAATAAAAAATAAACTTTTCTTTCAGTTTTGACATCTAGTTTCTTTGAAACTAATAATGAATTCGACTGGACACACTTATATATATTAAAATTGTTGTACATTTATTTAATTTGTGTAAAAGCAAATATAAATATTTCGAATTATAAAATACAAATTTTAATTAATAGCGCTATAAAATATATTGAGGATTTCATAGCTTAATTTTTATGTTTGTATTAAACATATATTTTTCATATAATTTAATTTGTGTATATGACTTTTCTCTTATAAGTCATTTTGGATATATGATCATACAGTTTTTCCTGAATCACAAAGAGAAATCATCTTTAAAATCTTTTAAAATACTTAAAGACCATGTTGTATACATAAAAAATAATATCTAGGTAATTACTGGAATGATGTAATCCTCGGGAGGAGGGAGCTGATTCGCGTATTCGAGAATCCATTCTTCCAAATCTTTGGTGTGTTTGTTTTCAAAGGACTTAGTCTTTCCAGGCATGGACTTTGAAATGGCATGATTCAGATCAAACAAGATCATTTGTACTCTTTTGAGCTTATCAACATATGGATGCTCAACTTTGCTGTCACAAGCGAACTCTCTCGCCAGTCCTATGTAAGACGATAACTCGTCAGTCGCCCCCAGAGCGTTGAAGATCATATCATCCTTCGGCTTTGTGTCTCCAGCATCTGTGATTGTCATTCCAGAGTCGCCGTCTCGCGAAAACACAGCTACCTCAGCCACATTTGATGTTGTAGTACTTCTACAACGATGTCATCATGAGTAAACTAACAATTATGTTATCTCAATATTATATTTCCTCTACATAATGCATACAGTACATTAAATCTGATTTAAGTCCAATTCCAACGTAGATTAACTTTAATCTTGGTTCAACTTACTCTTTGTCTTTTTCTAATCTTTTAGAACTAGAAAAAGATGAAGAGTAAGTTGAACCGAGATTAAAGTTAATCTACATTAGTAGAAATGGACATTATTGTCTATCAATAGCCCATTTCTACCAATGTAGATTAACTTTAAATTTAGTTCAACTTACTCTTTATCTTTTTCTAATTCTCAGAACTAGAAAAAGATGAAGAGTTAATTAAATCGAGATTAAAATTAAACTATATTGATAGAAACGAGTCAATGTAAGATTAACTTTAATCTCGGTTCAACTTATTGTGTTTTTTTTTTTAATTTTAAGCATTAGAAAAGGGACTTAAGGCCTAGTTCCATCAGTGTAAAATTAATTTTAATCTCAGTTTAATTTATTCCTTATCAATTTCTAATTCTCAGAATTAAAAAAAGATTAATAGTAAGTAAGTTAAATCGAGATTAAAGTTAATCTTACATTGGTGGAACCGGACCTAAACGTAGTATATTTCTAGCATGGCATTTTGAGGTTATAAAAAATATTTGAACACGTACTTATGTTTCAAGGATATACACTGCACTCCGTTCTTATATACGACAGTGGAGTTCCTCCACAGGACTTTAATCAGTTTCATCTCTCGTGTCACTCGCGGTTTAATCAATCCAGTTAACATACTTCACGCGTAATCCTCGATCGTCGATCGCTAGTGACATCGACCGACGCAAAATTAGCGAGCTACGAAATAAAGAACGTTCGTATATACAGGTCTCTAAATGTAAAGACAGATCCCACGCACATGTATGTCGTATGTGGGATCCAGTGAAATTTTACGAAAAGCAGATAATGACGCGGAAAATGAGAAAATAGAAAAATAAGTATATTATCGCGTGGGTCTGCAATGTCAGATTTCAGCTCATTCAGTTTAGACTTTACAATCGTAAAGAACGCACTCTATAATCTTCAATGAATTTACGACAATCCCGCTTTGAGAACATTTAAAAAGTAAATACATCATTGGCTTGATATAATGCAAAATTAAATTCCGCGCGCAGAATACGAAACTTATGATTTTAGCTTGTTTTATTAGCTGAACTTCTTACAATGTTCATTTTTTTGCTCTTTTTCTCTGCAATGTGGGAAGAAGAAGAAAATATACTGTGCAAGAACTTTAGTTAAAAAGAACAGACTTATAATATTCTTGCGTAATGTAAGGTCGAAATCAGACCACGCATTGAAGATTGAAAGTTTGAAATTTGACCAATGAAGACAAAGAAATTTTAGCTCCTATAGTTTTGATTGATAGTCTGATTCCGGCCTAAGAGGCTGCGCACAATGAAAGGAAAAAAGAACAGAGAATAAGAATTTCAATCTATCAGAAATCATGTGCAATTTCCGATAAGTTGAAATTCGTATTCTCTTTTGTTTATATTGGCTGTAACCGTATGCCGTATACCGTAATCTATAAAAATTGATCAATCACTTTCGAATATTTCCTTCTAATCATCGAATGAGAGAGGAATACTTGACTATGATTAGTCAATTCTTGAACAGATTATGGCTAATGTAAACGCTCCCTAATATTCCCGTAAAATCTGTTCTACAATTGCGTAAATGCAATTGTAAGTGATCATAGTTGTAAAAATTTACCAATTACAACTGAATACTGAGAAGAATATTTATACAATTGATTGTCAATTCTTACAAACTACACTTATGTAATTGTAGAATGTGCTTAAAAAGGTTTCTATGATGAATGAGAGTAATATAAAATCTGTTTTTTATTCCTACACTAGAACTTTTTCATTTTCGACAAATATCAAACATATACAATATAATAATGATTTGATTTCTATAGTTTGCCTTATCAAACATATATCTTTCTCATTTTAAATTCCAAAAGTGCTTGTTCTTTCACAGAAATTAGATTAATGACAAAGAAAAACCTAAGAAGAAAACCTAAGAAAGACTATGCCAGTCTTCTTCCTGTTACCGTCGAAATCATCCGTACATCCATTTTCAATTTGAATAGAACTACGTGACTACATACATTGTCTGACACTATTGATAAAATTGTATCGTTGAAATTAGATGTGATTCGTCTCTGTACTAAATCCTCAGGACAGAAAGTGCAGACTATCCATAAGACGGATAGTTTAATGGGTCCTTGAACGAAAAAATTTTTATTTTGCATGTTCTACGTACGTGGGTCGTTGATAAGTTTGGTAAATTTCCATGAAATGGCGCTACAATTCATTTGATGACGCGACGTCTCGAAAGATCCACTCTTCGAATTCCTTCAGGTCAAATTTCAGCCAAAAAGGACGCATAGTTCATGTTTGGTAGTCATTTGAAGTAGGCTGTTTCAAAGTCTGCAAAATACTCATTGACGGCGACAATAATTTCCTCATTTGACGAGAATTTTTTCCCATCGAGCCAAGTTTTTAAGTTTGGGAATAGAAAGAAGGGAAAAATCAGAGAATAGGATGGATGAGGAATCAATTCATAGTTCAATTCGTAGTTCATCAAATGGATTGTAGCGCCATTTCATGGAAATTTACCAAACTTATCAAATGACTCACATAAATAAAAGTTGTTGAACTTTAATAATTGAAAATTCAATTAAATTAATTTAGTGAATTTTGTCTTATAATATATCTTACAAAATTCCGTAGTTATGTTTCTTTATGCAAATTTTCAGCTCGTTTTTTTTTTACCAAATATAATTACTAGTATATCAAAGTCTCTATAATTACTAAGATTTTTAATAAATTCAATCTTTTTTAACATATTGTTAATTTAAGGTATAATTTAGCACAAACGAGCTATAGAGGCACTCCATCATCCCGCCAGTTTTATCAGCGATTTTCTTTTCTTTGTAAGTGTATTCCATAAAATAAACAGCTGCTAATAATTAAGTAACCCGTTTTTAGTAAGTATATCTTTAATTTATTTTTTTATTTTTATGTATAATTATTTTATTGTAATTCACTAATGAAATTGCAATAACTTTTTAAATATTTTAATTATTATTTTATTTTAATTATTATTCTTTATACAATTCAATATTACAATTATAATAATTATTGACAATACAATTATCAATGCTGTTCAAAATATAAATAAAAATGATAACATAGGAGCATAATTAAATTTTTGTAATGCGGAATTATATGAAAATGTCGAAAATACATACGATAACACAAATTTTTCTAAATCAATGTTTAATGAAATATTAATAAACGTAGAAGAAATATTAATAACAATTAAATCGTATTTACTATTAATTATTAATTTGCGAATATAAAACTTAATATCTCGATAAATAATATCTCAATAAAAAATTATTAATATATTTACAACAGCACTATTTCATCGCGTTCAAGATAATTATCTCAATAATTTCATTATATCAAAATCCCTTGTAGTACGCTGATTAATATTGGATATGGGAAAAAGTTCGTGGCGTTTTTCCCGCTAGATGGCATTAAATGCTCAGCAGTCGACAACTACTAATCGCATCGGCAACACTGGATGTGCGTTTAAAAAGTGACATTTTAATCTTTGTTTTGAGCTGAAAAAGATTGAAATCGGTGAAGTGGATCAAAAGTTATTTTATTTTGAAAATGGAAATAAATAAGGAAAAAATTCGCTACATTTTGCAGTATCACTACGATAAAGACAAAAATGCTGCACAGGCTTGTGAAAAATTTGCGCTATTTACGGTACAAGATACTCTATCAAAATCAGCAACACGGAAATGGTTCGCTCGCTTTCGTGCTGGAAATTTCGATGTGAAAAATGAATCTCGCTCCGGTTGACCATCACTGAAAAGTTTGATGAAATCATGGTAAAAGTCGAGCGTGATAAGCATGTGAGCACTGTGGAGATTGCCAGGGAACTAGGCATCAACCATAAAACAGTTTTAAATCATTTACACAAAGCTGGATACAAAAAGAAGTTCGTTGTTTGGGTTCCTCACGAGTTGAGTGTTAGGAACATGATCGAATTAACATTTGTGATACGCTACTGAAACGGAATGAAATTAAGCCATTTCTGAAATGATAATTGGTGATGAAAAATGGATCACCTACGACAATCCAACTAGAAAAAGATTGTGGATAAAGAAAGGAGAGAAGGCGCAAGCAATCGCAAAACCTGGATTGACGAGGAAGAAGGTGATGTTGTGTGTGGAACTGGAAAGGAATCATTCACTATGAGCTGTTATCGTCCAATCAAACAATTAATTCCGAACTCTACTATGAACAACTGCAGAGATTACAACAAGCAATTGAGAGGAAGCGGCCAGAATTAATCAATAGGAGAGATGTCGTCTTCCATCACGATAACGCTCGACCACACACATCTTTGATGACTCGGCAAAAATTGCGAGAGCTTGGCTGGGAAGTTTTAATGCATCCACCGTATAGTCCTGACATAGCACTCTCAGACTATCATTTGTTTAGGTTTCTGCAGAATTCTCTTAACGGTGTAAAGCTAGCTTCAAAAGAGGCCTGTGAAAATCACTTGAAGCAGTTTTTCGATCAGAAACCACAGAAGTTTTATCGCGATGGAATTATGGCTCTGCCCCAAAAATGGCAAAATATTATAGAAAATAATGGAGCATATTTAAATAAAACGGTTTAAATAAAATGATTTCAATATTATAAGAAAAACACTTTAATTTTAAAAAATCGCCACGAACTTTTTCCTATACCCAATATCTGATACAAAGAAGAACAATCTTTAGTGGAAAACGAACTTAAGGTATTTTGATTCTATGTCAAATTCATGAGACCCATTTGCAAAGAAAAGTTAAGCATTCGTTAAATACCAGTGATCTTGTTATAAGAAGGTGTGTGTCCTGAATCTTTCAGACTACTTACGATAATAATAAAATATGGATAGCATGTCAATCATAATACAATTACCATTTTTATCACATCTTTAATATAATATTAAAATTCACGAGAAAATATGTTCTGTCACATCATTAAAAATCATCTCTTATTAATAATAACGGATAGAATTTCCTTAGGCAATAATGATTACGAAGAAATATATTCAATAATAATAAAATACATGCGTTATTGTAACTTTTTATATGTATGGGTACAAAAGTTTCTCGCGTATCAATTGTTCGAGATAAATCCAACCTGATAATAATGGGATCTTAAAGAACGATATCTTTATACTAAAAAATTTATTATATAAAATTTAACAATTCCTTATATTTTGTATTTTCCAAAAATTTAATTATTAATATCCTGTTAATATAAGGGTACTCATTCGACTTATCTCGATTTTTTTATACCTACATAATTATTTTGTACCCACATAATTTTAACTAAATTCGTGTATTCACGATAACATTATTAAAAAAATATAAAGCATTTTGGTAAGAATTATCTTAAATTAAAAATTAAAATTTGTTAAATGTAATCTTATAATATCATAACATGTATTTTATTAAAGAAAAAAATGTATATATAGAAAATTAAACAGAAAATTAAAAATTAATAATTAATAATTTTCTGACTAGTGGGATGTCCAATATCTAAAAACGAATTTTTAAATAACAATTAGAAAATTAAATATATAAATATATAAATAA